TTTGGAAATAGATTTTTTAGTATTTGTTTTTAATTTAATTACAAATAATTTTCTAAATGCAATAAATTTTAGATAAAAATTATATTTTCTTAAAAAATATCATTAATTTATAGTTTTACTTACTTTATTTAAATGTAATAAATTATAAATATTGTGTAGATATCAAGTTCGATAAAAGATTTGAAAAAAATGTAAGTACATTGACATATGATTACTTCACCACCCACCGAATCAAATAGACTACTCGATAACACATTTAGGTACTGAGAAATACCCGTAATTGTAACTTTTGTTGTTCTTATTTCATACTTCCTGGTCTGATAGAGAATTGTTTGAAACTTCATACTTTTACCTGAATTTTTCTAGTTTTTCTCCGACAACTGTATACAAATGTTATCCACTATATTAACATTTATGCATTTTAAATATTAATGTTTTCAACAAAATTTATTATTTACTTTTATTAGTTTTCATTATGAAATAATAAAATATATACAATTACAATTCATCATTTGTTAATTATTTATTAAATTACTAAATTCAAATTCACATGACTAATTAATACGGAAATTTTCTATTAAATTACAAGTTTTATAAAAATGTCATGCAAAGAGCTGTATGAATTTTTAATTTACTACTTACTTAAGGAAAAAATTATAAGCTATAAATATTTTTAATTTTGTTTAAATTCAAATATAAAAAGAATTTTAGGAAAATAATAAATATTAAAACAAAATCCATTTAATTTTTCATAAATGTAATATATTAATAATATTTCTTTTCGAATTTAATAACTGAACTTATTAGTTTCAGCAAACATTATAGTTTTAGAACATAAGATATTAAAAAAGTTTGACTAAATTCAATTTAAGCATAAGTTTTCTTTCATATCTCGTAAATATACTAAAAGTTAAACCTACTATTGTCTCGAAAACTTTTCATTTCTTTTAAGTCTTCATAATTTTTAATAAATTAATTTCTAGATATTTATTTACGATCGCTAAGAGACATTAAAAAAACCATAAATATAAAAATACTATACCACTTTATATATTGATACAATAAAACTTATACGATATTGCATGGACCCATAAATACCCATATACATAAATACTAACCATTTATCAATTTTAAAAGCGATGGAATAACTCATTGTACCTACATAAGCTATTTCCTAACTCTCGTAAGATTCAATAGTGTAACAGCCAGTGTAAGTAAGCACAACTCGCATGTATTGTGTTTCAAATTATAACGAATTAATTGAGCATCTCATAATCAGCACTATTTTATAATATTCCGGAAGGCGATAGTTTAGAAAGCAATCGCAAGCTCTCAGCCAACCACTTGGGGACGTCAATCGTAAAAGAATATAAAGGAAAAAGAGTTTTTCCTCGGGGATTTACACCCTAGCGGTTGACTCCCGAAGGATCGGTTCCCTAGATAAGATATTATTCTTCCAAGAAAAAGCAGAGAGAACCAGATCTACCGTATGACGCGGACGGCTTGTTCGCTTTAATTTCACGCGAGGCAAAGTAGCCTCGTAAGAGAGAAGACAAATGTGTGTAACTAAACGCGACTCCACGGCCACTTTATCGGCAATGGAAGGTATTGAAGGAAGATAGGGAAATAAGCTCACGACGTCGAAACGGACTAAACTCAACGCTGGAGTCTGAGATTCCCACGGCGAACTTCCGAAATTCCTGCCGATGTTACTCACTCGTGATTCCCCATTCAAATATTTTATCTCTCCCTGAATAGGCTGGATCATTATTTGAAACTGGATATCTGCTAATGGAATCGACAAACATGGAAAAGCTTGCCAGATATTTAGAAATATCTACATTTCTATATATGGTATAACTGTGTATTTTAGAAAATCGCTTATCCGTCATTGACAAATTGTATTTGCACACACTGATGAACATTTGTCAATATTGTTATTTTAAAAAATACTTGACATATACGTGATAGTTAAATAAGAAATTATAATACAATACAGACTATTTATTATTTTAATTATATTTCAACATTAGAATTATTATTATAAATATTGTTGTTAATATTATTAATAATCTTTTTCATTTTCATTATTGTTCATGATAATATAATTATATAATATAATTGTTAATAGAGCAATTGTGATGAAGTTAAATAAAATAGAATAAATTAAATAACTACAATCAATTTTAGTTCTATTACGAAGTATAGTTTATAAATTTTAATATGCTTTATGAGGGATGAGCAATTTCTTAAACTTTTAAACAACAATGATTCAATATGTAAAATCAATAAATAGGTTACCAAAAATAAAAAATTATCATATCATAAATAAACTAAAAATAAAATTGATCAATTAAAGAAGTATTTATATTTATTATAATTATATTTTACAGTACGAATCCAATCTCTGATGTTATAAATTCAATAATCTATTCATAATATACGTAATGAAAATATATGAAAATACAATATAGATATATAAGAGAATAAATAAAAAATAAATAAATTATAAAAGATAATTATTATTATTTACCCTGTTATTACGTAATAATAATAAGATATTACTAAATAAGATTTCTAAACGCTCATGCTCAGTTTATACGTATGTATTTGAGCTTTAGTTAAATGAATGATTTTGAATCATATACGTTAACATTAAAATTATTTGTATCATAGTATTATTAAGTTTAAACAGTATTATACATATGCTCAATTATTATATTTAAATGTATAATACAAAAAGTTCAAAAATCTATAATACAAAAAATTTGAATAAACTTTAATTAATCGTTGCTTATTGCTATACTTCTTAAATAAATTTTCAATATGTATAATAATAATCTTAAAACGAAATTATATATGCTTATACTATAACACGTAGGATATAAAATTTTTAATACTTACATCTAATTATTCCTTACAAATCACAATAATTAATAATATATATTTGTTATTACATTGTATGATTGAATGTATTGAAAACATTTTCCAATATAAGAACAAATAAAACAAAATTAAAAATATATTTCATATACTTTACTTTTCTATTATTTTGCTTACTTTTTGATTTGCTCATTGCATTTCTAATTCATATTAAATCATATAAGAGTACGTGAAATAATTTAATTCTGGTCCAAAATGAATTCTAGGCTAATTTGAAATATCAATATTTTCAAATAATTATGATTATAATTGAAAATCATTAGTTTATGCATTTAGAGATATTTAAGAGATGAAATTTTATTATTTTTTTTATTTTATAAAATTTTATTTCATTTCATTAGACTATTAAACAATTATATCATACAATAATAAATAAAATCTTTTATAATTACATTAAATTAAGAAATGTTATTTGATTTTTATCCGAATAATTAAAAATATTCTACATAAATTTTACAGTAAATTCAATTCAATGCACAAATGAAATTTTCTGAATTTCATTTTAAAATGTTTAACGATTTAAATGTAACAATTTTATTTAATTTACTATAAAACGAAATTAATTAATAAAAATTTGCAATTCAGCATTAATATAATTTTTCATACCACGTATTATATTAAAATATGTACCTATAAAAGAATTAAAATTATTACTTATGAAATTATTACTTTATTCGATTCAGTTATATGAAATATTGGAATGAATACAAAGTATTTTTAAATAATAAATAATTAACCATAGTTTCTAATAATGTTATTTGATAGATCTTTACAGAATTAAATCAAATGTTCTAATAAAAATGTTGTATAATAATTTATGATTATTTCCAGTTCATGAACCTATATTTCTTTATAAACAAATACTTATTGTTCATAAGGAATTTTAGAGATTTATAGTATATATATATAAATGAATAAAATTGATTATCGGAAAAATTTGACTTGAAATTAAAAGAGAATGATGGTACCTCATAATGTTTTCTCAAATAAATTACCTTATAAAGTATAATAATACTTATAATAATAAATGTCGCGAGGAGTAATTCATTATATATATAATTAGTTATCATATTAGTCATTCTAATCTTCTAATAAATATGACAATTTATTTTAATTGAATGGAATATTTCGTCATTCTATTGCATAATTTTAATTTCAAAATCTTGAACAATTTTATATTTTCAATACACATATAGTTTTTATTTATATTAGCATATTCAATTTCGTTTTGCATATTTTATGAATGAATTGAACAAGCTGATCTATTCCGGTTTTTATCTTGATGATATTCGTCTCATAACATATGAAAAGTCATTTATATAAAATATTCATTGTTGAAAATAATAGATCGAATTTTTTAAGCCTCCTATATGTAGGATTTATTATTTTATATTATTTATCAAATCAACTTATCAAAATTTGTATATAAATATATATAAAATATATACATCTCAATATTACCAAAAATAAATAAATTAATATTTATATAATATATACGCTTGTTCAATTAAATTTTTTATGTCAATTATATTTATTAAAAATAAATATGAAATTAACGATTATTAAAAAATTAAAAAATTAACCAATTTAATAAAAAACATAAATATCCGCTATTCAGTTAAGAAAAGTGTGAATATATTTCTAGGTAAATTATTACCAATATACGAATGAACTATGTATCATGTAAAAACACTATATACAAATAAGATCACGCTTTATATAAATATTCATTTAATTTATATCAAATTTAATCATAAATAAGAAATCTATAAATATAACGCCAATTTCATGGAAATAAGTTTTATCTTTTTACAAGTACTCTAAAACAGTTTTAAATAAAAACCCAGTTAAAATTACTATTAATATAAAAAATTTTTTATTTAATCGTACCAAAAAATTGTACTCTATAGTTTTATATTTTTTTTCTCTTTGAAATACATTTTTACATATATAAAATAACAAAAAAATTTAATACAATCAATTTTAATTATAAAAATACGTCATATTATTTACAAATCTAATATATTATTTTGTATAATTTTTTATCTTTAACAGAATTATTTCTTTTTTTCATTTAGTTCTGACGTGGAGTCATGCAATTTTGTTTTTATCAGATTATTAATTTTTACTGGTAGATCGACGATGGATTGCATTGTTGTAAAAACTGTTTGATTATATACATTAAAAATTTTAAACTTCATAATAGATAAATTTGAAATTAGTCCCTGTAAAGTGAATAATAAAAGAATAATAGTATTAATTAAGTAAGATATGCCTATTTAGTCAATAAAATAAAGACATAGTAGTCATAAAATATATTTTGATGTTTAGAATATTTGAATAAATATATTGTATAGATTTTCTTCTATAAATGTACTTCTTACTTATTCAATAAAATATTTAACTAAATGTATTCCTATAAGTTGATAATATTTTCATATATCTATATTTATAAATACATATCTAAATTTGAATCTATAAATCGTTATTTCTACAAACAATTATATTGTAGTTGTTATAAAGCAACTATCTTATGGTAAATTATGAAAATTCTTCTTTTGAATTTTAGAAAAGAATAATTAATATATACAACGTATATTAATTTAATTTAATTGAATTTTTTAAGCATCTTAATTATAAATAATAACAGAATAGCAAATGATATATTTATTGAATAATTTTGAGTAAATTTCATTAAAAACATACGTATCAACTGATTTTTAGACTCAATTGAATCATACACATAAATTATAATTATGTTTATCAAGATAAAGTTACGCACCTTTTTAGTTTCTTCGTTATTTTGTAATAACTTTTGAATCATTAAATAAAACTCGTCGACTTGCTTGCCATCGCCCCAAACTCCCAGAGTTATTGTCGAGTAAATAATTAGGGTTGTAATGCCAATTTTGATGCTATACGTCACAATGATGTAAGACATTTTTTTTTTGGGGGGCGGGGGAGGACATTTGGCGAACTGTGTATCCAGAGTTAAAATATAAAGCAAGAAATAAGCCAAAAGATACAAAAAATATAGAAAAAATTAGAAATTATGAGGATACATGTACAAGTAACTTTTCTCATACAAATAAAATATACTGTAATATGCGAATTTGTACATAAAAATAGCAGTGACACTATTTTTTCGAGCAAATATGAAAGTAAGTAATTCTTACTGTTCTCTCAATAACTAGTTAAATAATCGTTGCAATATATAAACAAAACTCGAAAGAAAAATGTTAATGTAATCCCTAGAAAACAAGAGTATATAATTTTCATTAAGTAGCTTATAATTTTTTTATTTTTTTAAGATTATTTTTCAAATAATATTAAATATAAAGACCAAATATCTGTGTATATTTTATATTTAAATAGAAATAATTTGTATTTTATTTTAAATTACTAAAAAAAGAATTTTATTTTCAAAATGTATTGTACAAAAATATAAAATAAAATAAATGAAGTTCTGATATAATATATTTTAACATATTTCTAATATTTAATTGTCCAATAGATGATTATATTCTAAATGTTAGCATCCAAATTAAATTCTAATGAATAAATGATGATTTAATATAGAAATATTAACATTTATTTTCTATATATCATTCGTCTTCAACTTAATTAAAAGAAATTTTAATGATAACTAATATAAAACTAAAATAGTTTTTTTCCAAACATTTCTAAAAATTAACTTTTGTTAAATAATACATTTAAATCATTTTTTCACTTATTAAATGTATTGATTGCTTTTTATACATATCGGAATTACAAAAATTTTTACTTTCACAATAATATATTCAATTTTTAAATGTACCGATTCTAAATTCAAGGATAATCTTTATTTCAAAAATAATATTACATAATTTGTCTTCCTTTGAAAATAATTATTCATCAAAATATAAAACTTTTGTTCTTTTGTAGATTTAATATAAATTTGTTTTTGAAATAAAAAATACTCTATTAACAGCATACAACCTGTAACATACAGTATATAACCAATAACTGAAAAAAGTGAATAAAATCCATATGAAATATCATATCCTTTTTTATTATGTATTGCATAAAATATGCAAGCCTTACTAAAGGTATATAAAGGAAAATCTACAAGCAGATAATTGTTGGAAACTGGGCCTCTATCTATCTAACAGAAAGATGCAAAACTAATCAGGCTATAATGGATGAAATCCTCGTAGAATCGTATCCTACCATCCGTGATCGTACGATTCTTTCTCTCTCTCTCTCTCTCTCTCTCTCTCTCTCTCTCTCTCTCTCTCAGTCCCCCTCGATCTCAATCGGTTACTTGCGCGTATCATCAGTCAATAACGCTCAGTGGTATAGGACATTGATTTGTTGTGAGAGATGCTAGCCGTAATACTGATGCACGAACAGTTCTATTCCATCTCGCTATCTTCGTCCAACATTCAGAAGCATCACTTATTGAGCTATCGTACGTGCATGTCTTTGACAAGTACGAGTGGAAAGCCGAAGCTGCGTCCTGGAACGTCCTTTCACATTAGAGTCTCGGTTCGAACTTTACTCAACACGTACACATCGCGGAGTAGGAAAGCGCAAATGATATTCTTGGACAGCCAAGGAGCGCTAGGTAGAGAGATGGGAGAAGTGAAAGAGTACCATTATGTCGAAGCTCTCGACACCAACTGTCGGACTAATTTCAGGTAAACGCAAGAATATATCGACTCGTATTCCCGCCGGTCGCGACTGTCATACACTCTCTCCCCTTCATCTCCTACTACCAACGCAAATGGATAAAGTTATCGCAGAGGGATTCGTATCTGTGCACCCACGCATCAACGACCACGTGCAAATGAAGGCGATAGCTGTGCGGTTAACCCGAAAGACGATCGATGAAATGGCGACAACGTTGAAACCTAGTAAGGTACGAGCAAGGAAATGTGGAAGGGCAGAAGAAATAGTGACAAGGCAAACGGGAGAAGAAGGAAGTAGCGTGAATGCAATGGTAGTAGCGGAGAAGAGAAATTGAAAGCTAGGGGTTTTCAACCTTCTGGGCTTTAATTGAATTTTGCCATTGGTTAACCATCGGATTTAAATTCACTAAATTGGAATTCATACTTATACAATATATGTGTAGATGTATACTGTAAGAGTAAACACTGCTTCACTTATATGTGTATTCATAATTTTTAATATATCCGAAAAACACTGAAACAGTGAAAACTAAAATATATCGTTCAATTCCATAGAATATTGTTAATAGTCTAAAGATAAGACGATACTCTTTATTATCTAAATTTAATAGTACTTGCACAATTTTGACCATAATAATATCTGAGTTATGAAATCATATTAATTTAGGAAATCAGAGTTGAGGAAGAATAAATTGATAGTATGAATATGAAACTAATCAAATACAAGTTTCAGTACTAATAAAAACTCACAATTCATGCATATTTATTACTGTAAATCTGTGAAAACTCTCTCCTATATATATATATATAATTGAATAAATTGGATTGTTACTAGATTTTTATTTTAATATGAGTATTAATAGAGGCTATTGAAAGATCATTTTTTATGATCAATAAATACTATTTTCAATCTATAATAATTTGAACATTTATACAAAAAATTGTAATTTAAATATAGTTTATTATTTACTTAAACTTTTAATTTTATACATAATAATTAAATAATTAATGCATTCCAAATAATACTTATTTTTTCTTAGAATCCTTATCTAATTATATTTAATAAAATGTATAGCTACAATTATAGAAATTATAGCAAAATTACTTAATTTATAAAATAAATTAATGAAACATTTAAAGATATTTTTAGAATTGAAAATATGCATAAATTTGAATCAATAGAAAGAACCAATTTATTTAATTCAGCTAAATATCCATAGAATGATGAATCGTCTAAATAGTTGAGATTCTATCCGCTGGAATTAGTAAGTTAATTATATTAATTTAAAAATATATATCAAATCTTAATTTAACGAAATTTTTCTACAAAAATTAAATTACACTTGTTTTTTTTTAAGACAATTAACATAACTTATAGATTTTTACTCAATTACTGGTTTCACTGATTTTTAATTTGATATTTTTTATTGGAAATTAGGTAGAGTTATCTAAAAGCATATAAACCGATGAGTTACTCGTACATAATTAACTTCAAAGCTTTTATTATATTTTACATCTAACTCAAAGTTATTTTTCATCCGATCAGTATTAGTATCAAGATTAAATATTTCATATATTAAAGAGTAATAGCTTAAAGTAATTAATTTATAACTATTATTTTATTTAATATAAAAGATACTTTAATTATTTAAATTATTATTTATTTCAATGAATAAATGATTCTATATTTAACAAATATTCTATAAAATACATTCATACTTATCATTATTTTTCAGTGTATTTTAAATTTATGAATTATATATTTCGAAAATAGAATATTATAATATTTCTTTTCAAGGAATAAGCTATACCTGCACTAATATTCCTAATATATGTATTTAAGTCTTTTTAATAACAATATGTCAGTTAGATATAAGTTTATTTTAATATATAAATATGATTTTTTTATCTTGCAATCGGCTCTAAGATGTAAAGTATCCTATTACATCTTGCTGTTCAGTAATTGTATTATATTATTTACTATATTTTTATCAATAATACGTAAGTAAATTAATATCTGAATTTTTTTAATAATAAATTTTCACTCATTTATTTTTCATATTCATAAAATTAATTTAGTAAAAGCTTAATGAAATAAAATCAATAACAAAAAATTAATTATGTTTAAATAATAATATCAAATTCTATGTTATTATGTTTATTGCAAAATATTTTTGATGCCATATACATGCCATATATATGCTTCAATAAATAAAAATTATACTTAATTTATTACTATTAAAATTACTTTCTTTCTTATATCCTGACCAAATTTATATTTCAAATATTATTTTAGTATGAAATATCAAATTACGTAAATTTATCTGGAAATGTATTGTTTTCTATTAAAAGGAAATTGAATGTAATTTATTATACAACTACTTATCTATAATAATACCTAGTTCATTTTTATTTTCTTTATTTCAGAATGCATAATTTATAATAATTTATAATTTAAATATCCAATACATAATATGTTTAATTCATTGTTTTTTACTATTTTTATATTTATTTTCAATTTCTGTATTTATATATTTACTATTTTATTTTTTTACTATTTTTATATATTTTTAAATGTCTACCTATTTAGATATATGTATATTTATATATCGTTTAAAATATATCTTTTATTAAATACTTTCATATTCAATTTAGTTAAGAATATTGACTTCATCATAATTTAATTTATTGAATTGCTTAGTATCAATTAATTAGATTTGTCTTATTAGAATCAATAACGTTATTATATTAAGTTTTTAATAATCTATTACTATTTTAACAATTTATCGTGTATACAGTATCACAATATTAAATATTTAAAATTCGGCGAATATTACACTAGATATTTGCTAAACGTATATTGTTAGTAATTAAATTAATATGTAAAATGAATTTAAAACAAACTGAATAATACTGTAAATATTATAATTTTATGAACAACCAAAATTTTTCACACCATATGTTCGATCCCATCTAACTGTTCGGGATTGAAGCAGTCCCATGAATTTCAAACAAAAGAAAGGTCATTTACGCAGCCCGGCGTACCGCATGTGCGCCTAGACTGACCGCGCGTGCAGCAAGGCTGGCCACCACGTGCGCCTAGGCTGATCCGCACGTGCGGACCGAGGCGGGCACGCGAGAAAATGTTTACAAACAAAACTCGGCAAGTCCGAGCAAGTTTACGATTTGAAATATTATTTACTGCCAGCACTCACAAAAAAGGGACGCCTTCGAAACTTCTAGAAGCTTCGTTTTCTCACGCCAAAGGAAAATTTCTGGAAGGGACGCGCATCGACACTGTTG